GGCCCTGAACTGGGTCTGACCCGCGTTCACGCGGGTCAGATGAATCCGACCCGCGTGATCGTGGGTCGGATCAATCCGACCCGCGAGCACGCGGGTCGGACACAAGTCCGACTCGCGGAACGCGGGTCGGAGAAGCTCAAAAGGGACGAAAAAAAATCCCGATTCTTTTATTCTTCTTCTCCAAACTTCGGTTCCAGCTTCCTATCTCCCCCAAATTTTCGGTTTCTTCTTGAGTTCTAACCCCTCAAGAGCTCCTCTTCCTCTAGAATTCCAACCGAATCAAAGCTCCTCCTCCTTAAATTCCCCTTTACTCCTTCTTCTCCTCTTCCAATTTGGACTTGAACAAAAGGGCAGACCTAGGGTTTTCGGCTGATCTTGACTTGGGCTCGAGCATTTGTGGATTCAATTCCTCTTCGAATTTCAGGTAAGCTTCAATGTCCTCTTTTCAATTTGGATGCTTGATTCATGGCTGATTTTTTTTGAATTTTGATCTAAAAAAAATCGAAGCCCTAATTCTTGAATTTTGGGGAAAACCGAAACTTGAACTTGAGCTTTGAAAGATGGCCGATTTTTTTGAGCTTGATTGTGTTCATGGCTTGATATCTGCAGTCCCTACTTTTTAATCTTAGGAAAAAAACCGAAATTTCTTGGATTTTGAGGGTTAATGGTGGCCGAAATTCTTGAACTTTATTCTTGAATTTGTATAAAGAACTGAAATTGATGGCTAAAACTCTTTGAAGCCGAATTTTTACTGTTCATGGCCGAAAAATCTTACTGTTCATGGCCGAAAAATCTTGTTGAGTTCTTGGGATTGATGGTTGGCCGACTGATTTCTTGTTGAACCTGTTTATAGCCGAAACATCCAGGTTGACATTGGTGGTATGCATGGCCGAATTCTTGGTTTGTTTGAACCCTTAACTGTACATGGCTGAAAATTTGTGACGATACTGATTTCTCGAGTTGATGCTCTTGAACTTGTGCCTCGTCGAGGTCAAATTTTGACTCTTGGTTAATTGTTGATGATTGCATCCGAACTTGTACGTGGATCGAGAACTTTGTATATGGTTAAACTTGTGTATGCCTGAATTTACGTATATGTGAATCCTTGTACATGATTGCACTCTTGTATGGTTCGAACTTGTACATGATTGAACTCGATGTGACTGAATCCAAACTTGTATGTGGTCGAAACAACTTGAATCCCAACTTGTGTATGGCCGAACTTGCACGTGTGTCGAGAACTTTGTATATGGTTGAACTTGTGTATGCCTGAATTTACGTATATGTGAATCCTTGTACATGATTGCACTCTTGTATGGTTCGAACTTGTACATGATTGAACTCGATGTGACTGAATCCAAACTTGTATGTGGTCGAAACAACTTGAATCCCAACTTGTGTATGGCTCGAGAACTTTATATGCCTTGAATTCGAACTATTTTTTTTTTGTATATGATTGAGCTTGTGAATCCACATGTTGACACGATCGAGGCCTTATATTTGACTTTGTGACACTTAACTTGAATCGAGAATGTTGTATAGATTTAATTAGACCCTTAATTAGGAAAATTCCATTTTGTAGAATTTCAATTAAAGATTCGCAATTTCCCTTTTAGTCTTTCGATTTATGTATCTCGATTCTTGATCTGACTGAGCTGTTGATCTTTATTGCAGATTAGCTATGTCGACGCTTTGGACCGGCTGGGGCGCGAATTCCGACGGTTACAAGAGTTGAAGACTGCTGGTAGCTCAACGTACACAGCCATTTGGATGGAATCTCGTCTACAAGCATGGCACGACACTCGGGCTTCGGCTGGACTTGAGATTCAAACGCAACAAAGTCGGGTGGATCAAATGGAGGCCTTGGCTATCTTGGGGATGGCGAAGGGTGACTTGGAGCGTTCACGAGTTGTGATATCCGGAAAATTGGAGCTCTCGAAACAGAAGTTAGCCAAGATCCAACAAGAGGCTGCGAAAACATTATCCCTCACCGAGGAATCCTTCAAGGTTGCATTGCAGTGTGAGCTTGAGCGAACTTATACAGAGGAATTGACTAAACTTGAACAACAAGCCTGTAGTCACAAACTTCATGTAGATTGATTGTAACTCTTGTACCTGCAAACTCAATTTTATTAATAGAAAATATGTCTTTTTCATTCATTATGTCTCCTTTATTATGATGTCTTACTCCGTATGGAATAATCAACCATAATACTTGTGGGGTTTTCGTCAATGACTCGCATTTATAGAATTTTTGGCAAATTCTCAGCCATCAACGGGTTTGATAATCCTTTACCGACTACCGTTTGAGTCGGGCTAGTGTGCGGATTATTTTGGATCCGTTCCGCACATAACGTTGCGCTAAGAGAATTAATTCACTTAGACTTGGTGCTATGACTTTGAATACATAGGCTTCGTCTTTCTCGTATGAGTAGACTAAACGGCAACGCGTGTTAGGTGTTGACTTACCCCTTCTTAGGCTTCGGGGTAAATTCCCCAGATTTAGACTCTGGTGTTTTTTTTCAATCGGCGAAAGACTAAACCGGCGATGTGTGTTAGACATAGACTTTAGGATTTTTGGCAAACCCCCAGCCTTCAACGGGTTTGATGTGCCTTTACCGATTACCGTTTGAATCGGGCTAGCATGTGAATTATTCGTGCCTTTACCGATTACCGTTTGAATCGGGCTTGCATGCAGATTGTTTAAGTCCGTTCCGCATGTGACGTTGTGCTAAAGGAATGAACTCCCTTAGACTTGATGCTACGATATTGAATACGTAGACTTTGCCCTTGTTACGGGAATAGGCTACCCGGCAACACGTTCGGTGAAAGACTAAACCGGCAACGCGTATTAGGCGTTGACTCATCCCTACTTAGGATTCGGGGATAAAATTCCCCAGACTAGATTCTGGTGTCTTTTTCAATCGGTGAAAGACTAAACCGGCAACGCGAGTTAGGCGTTGACTTATCCCTACTTAGGGTTCGAGATAAAATTCCCCGCGCGTGTGAAGCACGGATTTTGGCGTTATGAATAACGACCTGCCATAATGTCGAATATGTGGACTTTTGTCCTTTTCACGGCAAAAGACTAACCGGCAACGCGTGTTAGGCGTTGACTTATCCCTGCTCAGGATTCGGGATAAAATTCCCCATGCATAAAAGGCATGGATTTTTGTTGCTACGATGCTGAATACGTAGACTCGGTCATTTTTACGGGAACGAACCACCCAGCAACGCGGGTTAAGCGTTGACTTATCCCTACTTAGGCTTCGGGATAAAATACCCCAGACTGGATTCTGGTGTCTTTTTCAATCGGTGAAAGACTAAACCGGCAACACGAGTTAGGCGTTGACTTATCTCTATTTAGGAGTTGAGATAAAATTCCCCGTGCGCAAAGTGCCCGGATTGGAAGTTGAAAATTATGTCTTTTCTAAGAACAATGACAGATTAGAAAATGGGAGAGGAAGAATTTTATATTCTATCTCCCGGTACTGAAGAGGAAGAATTTTA